TAGTTTAAGCATTGATTACTCTGCGTTGATTGGCTATTACACATGACGTTACCCAATCAGATAGAGTTGTGGACGGAACATTGCATAAGGTGTTGTGTTGAAGAGGTGAATTTAAAACACTGAAGTGTCTTAAATACAATAAATAAGGCTCTTAGAGGTATAAACTGGATAACAATGATGAGGTCTGTACGGAACAAAGAGGCTTTTAAAGAACTCAGTGTACATTTACCCAAGAGCTGTTTTGGAACACAACTTTCTAAAATGTCTTTAAGGATTTCCATTTTAAGACACTTTATACTTCTACTGCACAAAAAAAAAAAGTAGACACAAATAAGTTATGTTTACAAAGTGCGATACACTAGTATGGGCTAAAACTTTAACCGTATTCTGATTTAGTGCAGATATAAAACCACAAACGGATAAGAATTCACAAGATTAGACTACAAACCTCTCCTCAGTTTATGGGTAAAAAAATAAAATGCAGTCAAACAACACGAAAGAAAAGAAACAAACGGAACTGCAGCGTTATTTAATTCTGACGTGATGCTGCTTTCATGAAAAATGGAATTCAGGGCAAATTAGTAAAGTAGCTTCTGCTTTAGAATAGTTATTGATGTTGTTTTGTTTGGTTGTTGTAGTTTTTCTACATTTCTGGTGGCCTCTTTTTGTAAACCATAATTCAACCTATTTTTTTTCGTTTCTTTTCATCTTGGTGCAAAAATAACTTATTTTTTTAAACAGTGTACTTCAGCAGTTAGGAATTACGAGGGGCAGTGAAGGCACCGTTCCTGTTTCCAAACCCATGAAATGAAACTGAAAGTAAACTTGTAGATAACCACAAACAACTAACAACAGAATAAAAAATAACACAAGCAAAGAACAAATCAGCCAGAAAACAGATTTTAAAGGTTAATTCAGCTTCTTTAAAAAGCAGCACAACCTGTTTTGCTCAGATTTGATATCATTTTAGTCAAACCTGTGACTTACTACTGTGGCTGCCTGTTTGCTTGTTGTGGGTTTCTGCTGTCAGTTGTTGTTTTGTCCACATTTCCAGGAGTTTGGTTGTTTCCGGACACATCTGCTCCTTTCTGGTCAGAGTCGAGGCTGGAGTTCAGCTGGTTTTTGGCGCTGTGGGGATCCATTATTCAGACACACTAGTTTAGCTGTGCAGGGTGCTCGTTGATCGTTGCTCTATTCTTAGTGCAGTTTGCTTTTCCAGGGACAGTGTAGTGACTCATCAGATGTGTAACCGTGCTTTCAGGCACAGCAGAGAGGAGGGTTTTGATGCAATAGTGCCATCTGCTGAGAAAAAAACAGGAAAAAGACAGCTCATTTCCAGTTTATTTGTTCTATTTTATTATTATTTGTACATACACCTCAACCAATCAGATGCTGTAATTATCCTTCAATAGGCAAGAAAAAAAAAACTTGACTCCACTATTTTATCTTAGTGTACTCTTACTTATTAGTTATTTGTTAGTTTAAATTTGTTTTCATAATTTGTCAGATTTTGCAGTTTTATTGTAAAGCACCTTGTTTTCAAAAGGTGCTATACAAATAAAGTTGTTGTTATTATGATTCATGGAAACAACAATCAGCAGACAACACATATATCAGTAACTACGCAACAAGATGAGCTGCAAATAAGTTCAGAAACACCAGTAATATCAGTTTATTTTGGCCACCAGCTGTTCAAAGCATAGACTTTCATGATGGTTTTCATTTTAGTTTAGTTTTCTTTTTTTCCCCTAAATTTTAACTCACCCATAATCAGATTGTTTGATCTGCTTGTCTAATATTACAGACTCTGAATCAATGACATGATGAGACATACCAATGAAAACATCAGGCTTTTATCGTTATTAGTTCCTGAGATATTCTAGTCCAAACTGCCTATTTTTAAACTGCATATTTAATTTCATGTGCAGCAAAAACAAAAAAAACAAACTACTGCTAGTGAGTTAACTGGCAATTTCAAAAAATGTCTTTACAAATATCTGCATTATATGCTACAAAAGTTTCAAGTAAATTTGGGAGTCAAGGCAAAACTACTTTTAAAAGTTTCCTCTACAATCAGAGGTTTTTAATAAACAATTATGTAATGATTGGTAACACACACAAAAGTCCTTATGTTGATTTTTCATTAAAAAAATTCAGTTGTTCAACTAGTTTTTCTACATTTTTATTTTTAAAAAAGGAAATGTTGTATTGCTTGCCGAACTACCATAATTGTGAACACAAGTTTTTAAGTCAGCTTGTTCTAATTAGATTTGTCTGTTGAAGCCAATATCATTAACTTAGAATTTGTTTTAAATTATTGCAGAAATTTGAGTTTAAAATACAGACAATATTAAGTCCATGCAACGTTTTTATGTCAACTCATCAAAATAATGTTTGCAAATTAATGAATGAAAAATACTTTATTTATCCCAGAAGGGAAATTAAATTATAATAATTCAATTAAAATAAAATGTTTATATTGCAATTTATAGTGCTGTGATGTTTATAAATACATTTTTTTCCTTCTTAAAATTAGACATTGAATGAAGTCGTGGGAAAAGGTTCTTTAAAACACTTTTGAGGGTTTTTTATTTATTTTAAAGATCTGACTTCTTTAAAAACCTGTTTGTAATACAATAAGAAATGTAATAATTTCATTTAAGGCAGTTTAAGTGTGACAAATAAATAAGGCTACCATAAACAAAAGAACAATTGCTTCTTAGTTTACTAGTTGTCATTAACTAAAAGACCAAAGTTGTATTTGTCGTAATAGTCGCTTCAGTTTGCACTTTTTTTATTTCATTCTACAGAATATTCTTCTTTGTTGAAATCCTCGGGTGCACATATGTTCTAATGTCTATACTTTCCTTCCTTATTTTGTTGTGTTTTAACAACATAAAGACAAAAAACCATCAGTCAGTCACATAAAAACTCATTTATTACGAGTTATCACATTCGGAATGAACAAGCATTTTATGTTGATTACAAACCAACAGACACTTCGATGACGACTCTTCTAGTTTGGCAGGATCGGATCTGTTACACTGGACGTTAATGCAGACACACACACACAAAGGGAGCACGGATAAATACACATCTTTAGCAACCATACAAAAAACTAAACGTTATTTTTTTTCATTACAAAGTTAGAGCTTCTTCTGTGTTTCATGGTGTAAAATTTCAAGGAATGCTTGGTCGCTCTGCTACAGTGATTCATTAGTGAGAGTCAGGCTCGTGTGGCACTAAAACACGACGTCGCCCGAGGTGCTGTTGAAACGATGATGACTTTGACACAAAACAAATAAGGCAGTGAAGGTCCAGAGGCCTCGTCGGACCAGTTCAGTCCCCCGTCCAACACAAATACTGACAACTCACTGCAGGGACGAGTGCAAGTAAACAAGAGCCAACAGGTCGGAGCTGGAGGCTGCTGATGTTTTCAGCTTAGCAGTGATGGCGATGGTGGTCAGAAGTCTCCTTCATCCTGGACGAGTCGCCCTCCTTCGAGTAACTCAAAGATCTCCTGCAGCCCTGAGCTCTCTGTGCTTCCCACAGTTCAGTTGGATGTCGTGATGCGTTTGGATATGTGTGTGTCTGTGTTTAACGGCTGCAGTTGGAGGGGAGATCACAGCTTCGGCTGGCTGGAGAGCTTCACCTTCAGGTTCTCGGCCAGCTTGTCCAGGAACTCGAAGGTATTCAAGTAGTCGGCACGAGTCACGCTGCAAACAGAGGAAATGGTCAGAGAACAGAAACATGATGGGAAACGGCTATTGCAAACACAGAGCCAATTCATGTTTCCTGTGTGCGCAGAACAATGGAGGCTTTGATGTCTTGTTTCCACACGGTTTAGTTTCATGCTTGAAAATCTGCATAATCTACAGACTGTGCCCCCTGGTGTTCAAGGCAAGGAAATGCATCTCATTATGGAGGTACTACTTGAGGTATTGTGACCTAAAGCTGAGAGTTCACTCAACACATTCAATTAAGTTTATAAGGAACACAGCTGACATATAAGACTTCTGAGGATGCCTTTACTAGAGTAAATGTACTTTCCACCACTGTGATAGTTGCCTTGAGCTCATCCCAGGTATCATATTTTAATGATTTAGTATCCTCTAAAATTAAACTAATCAGAATATGATTTGTTTATCCGTGTTTAGTCAACCTCAGCCTGCTGCAGACTGTTGACATTCACCGCTCTCCATAAATGTGAGTGTTTCTCCACAAGTGCAGATTAGTGTGAAAGTGGAAAATGATTTGGTCACACTGGTGATTGAGTAAATTAAATCAGTGTACGAAACAGTCAGGCGGCAGATTCTCCAACACCAAACGCTGCCAGCAGCAGGTCATGTCAACTGTCGCTAATTAACGGTAATTCTGAGTGTAACTTGATGTCGGGCCAGGATGTAACTTGGCTGCTGGCTCTGCAGCCAGCATCTGTGGTCTGCCAGAGATTTAAAAATTTTATTTTTTTTTTTAGCCTTTTGTCTGTATTCAAAGACTGAAGCATCACTCTGTAACACCACTGAATGGACCATTTCAATCCCAACAGCTCCAACACAGTGTGCCTCTGCTTTAACATTTTCCATTAGTTTCATTAATTGCATTCTTCCAGTTAAACTTTGATTTGTGATTTTTAAACTTTGATATTACGTCAGTAGTTAAAGATATCTGCTTCAGTAGAATCAGGTTTCTCTGTGCATCTTCCAGCAAAATGCAGCTAAAAAAAAAGTTTCTAAACTCAAGGATGCAAATTTCCAGAGAAGAAAAAGAGACACAGCAGATCAGTGTTTCAACACAATAGACAAGCCATTACTTTTTTGTATACGTTCAGCAATGTGCAATATCCAGAAGAGCAACATCAGTTACTCTACTGTTTTTGTAGTTCTTAATTCACCAAATTAGCCATCATTACAAGAAAAAGCTATCTCATTGTTTACATAGATACATTTGTACATAAGATATTTATCTTTTATATTTGCATATCTCCTACTGTACTTGAAAAAATGTATCTGATTATTGTACATGTACTGATAGAATTGCTGTTTAATTTCATTGTACACTGTGCAATGACAGTAAAGAAACTCTATTCTACTTAAAGTCTTTGTCCACTTTGACTAGGATAAACTGTTGGTCTGTTTGCACACAAAAAAGACGAACTCTGTTATTTTATTGTAATTAAAGTATTGGATTAGACCACAGCTGGGTGATCTGACAAGCTCTCAGACTGACATATAATCTGCTTTTTAAAGGTTTAGGTTGTGTCATTGAAGATGTTAGATGTAAGTATTTTATAGGACTGAACGACAGGCAAAAAATAACATACGGGCTGGGTCAGAAAAGTTTCAGGACCGGTGTCACAAAAGACATATTTCAAATCGGAACTACAAACTACAAGTTTTCCCCTTCAAAGTAATCCCCCTGGAGTCTAACACACTTCTCCAGCCTTCTCTGCCACGCCGCCATGCACTCCTAGAAGGATTCTTCCGGGATCCTCCACAGCTCCATCATCACAGCCATCTTGATGTCATCCACGTCTTCTAAACGGGTCCCATTGATGACCTCCTTGAACTTGGGGAAGAGGAAAACATCACACGGAGCCAGGTGGGATGAGTAGGGATGTTGCTCCAGCACAGAGATGTTCTTCTCAGCCAGGAAATGTTGGATGCTCAGGGCATTGTGAGCAGGCGTGTTGTCATGATGAAGCAGCTACGACTTGTCCTGCCACAACTCTTGCCTCTTCTAACACACTGAATGAAGCAAACGCTGCAGGATCTCTTTGTAGACCTGCTGGTTAATCATTTGACAAACTTGTATTTTGTAGCTTGGGATTGAGAAATATCTTTTGTGACACCAGTCCTGGAACTTTTCTGACATACCTCATATTCCGCTAATATCTGTAGAATTGGTTTATATGCCAGGGCATCTCTGTAAAAAAATGCTTCTTTTATGATGGTTTGTCGTGACGCACTTTACCTTTTTATTAAAAAGATGTGTTGCACTTTTCCATAGTGTGACATAGATACTAATTTTTCAGCCCTAACATTTCGTCTTGGAAGTTCAGTCGCTGGAAACATGAGATGGGAAGGGTTGGGCTAATTGGTTACCAGCAACTGAATTTTCAAAAGAAGCGTCAAAAACGAAAATATGAATCTATTGGTCATGACTTGACTTGGTCATGAGATTTGAAAGTTGGACTTTTAGCCTCAAGTTACAGGCTTTGTATCCAGGTAGATTACATCTATAAGAAGAATTGTGATTCAGAGTTTGACTTCCTCTCTAAAGACTGTGACATGATCTTTGGCCTCCCCAGAGCTGGACTCTGTACCAGCTGATACCAATTAACCATTAACACCACAAAACATCTGCACACTTTCCAACACTTGGACGACTTACTTTGGCATTCCTTTGATGCAGATCGCCAAATCCTTGGTCATGAAACCAGCCTCGATGGTCTCAATGCAGACGGCCTCCAGCGCCTCGGCAAAGACTCGCAGCTCGGCGTTGTTGTCCAGTTTGGCCCGGTGGAGGAAGCCCCGTGTCCATGCAAAGATGGAGGCTGAAGCGAACACAGAGATTTCATTATAAACGATTAAATACAAGCGTCTTAAACTAGATGTTCCAGTTTGTGCTCCTACCGATGGGGTTGGTGGAGGTTTCTTTTCCTTGCTGGTGTTGTCTGTAGTGGCGGGTCACGGTGCCGTGGGCGGCCTCGGACTCCACCGTGCGTCCATCAGGGCAGATCAGCACACTGGTCATCATTCCCAGAGAGCCGTAGCCTGAAATTTACAGCAAAACGTTTCAACATCACATCTTTGAACCCGATACGTAAAATCTGAGATTTTCCTCTTTGATTCAACAATTTCTAGGAAAAAAATTCACACATTTTTAATATTTGTCTGTTTTTTTTCTCTCTGTGCATACATATGTTACTTAGTAAAACATGTAAAATTTTTGGTCGCAGGTGTTTTTAAGTGAAAAATGTACTGAGTGGGGAGGGCTGATGTCAAATTTTGCATTGTTTTCTTCACACTAATCAGTGGATCAATTGTTGAAGTGGCATAACTTGAGAAAATCTGTAGCTAGAGTCCTGAAATTGAGTAGAATCATTGATATGTACATGTGGCTTTTAATGGTATAACTTGCTTTGATGGAATATTACAAACCAGCTACATGATGATGCAAATTTTTTCTATTCCGATATTCCACCAACCATAAAACCTTTATTTTTCACCCTAAGAGGCTGAATGTTTTTCCTGTGATTGGCAGTATGGTGCCAGTCAGAGGCATACTTTGAGGAAGAATTTATTAAAATTATGTTGTTTTTGCATTTATGGCCAGTATTTGAACATGCATTGAGCAGGTATGATAAGTGAAACTACTCCAATAGTGTCCCAACTGGAAGAGTTTTAGAGTATTGTTACCAGGATTAAACATCATCAATCATGGTTTTCCATCTTATCGTGCTTTAAGTAAGGGATAATGCCCATTAATTTCTGATAATGGACACCTCGAAGGGCATTATCCCGCTTATACCATGGTCACTTACGAAAGATATTACTAAATAAATATTAAATCAATTATTAATACGTTAATGTTGTTTTTTACCGTTAAAATCGTAAGTTTTCCACAACAAGCGGCTGAGCGGACTATTTCATGTCTCTCGTTGTGACGCGTTGCCAAGGTAACCGGTCGGCCGCAGCTGTTATTGCTGTCTTGCCGTTGTGATAAATAAACTGAAATAACGTATATTAACGTATGTTCTGAGTTTCTGTTGCCACGGTTACCAACTACCGTTTGAGTCAGCACATTAATTTAGAACAATCAGGTTATTTGACCGGAACTTCTTTATAGGTGTCCTATATCACTTTTTAATGGACACCCTGCAGCCAATCAGAATCGAGTATTCACCCAGACCATGGTATAAATAGTTTTATCCAGAGTGTTACAATAAGCAATTCCGTCAATGTTTATTATCTATATGTCAGACATATATAAAAATCAGTCAAACTAAAGATTCTGTATATTGCAGCTCCTCAAATGATGGAAATGTGCTTTTATTTGACCAACCTTGTGCCACAGAGTCAGACTGAACATCTCCGTCGTAGTTCTTGCAGGCCCAAATGAAGCCTCCCTCGGATTTCATGGCCTGTGCCACCATGTCATCTATGAGACGGTGCTCGTACCAGATTCCTTTGGCCTCGAACTGAGAGCGGTATTCCCTGGAAGATGTGAAAAGATGGACAACACCTTAAAGTTCTAGTCTGGTAGAGGAAGAGACAGTGCATGTGTGATTGTAGGTGTTTATGTGGTTATTTACTTCTCGTAGATCTCCTGAAAGAGGTCTTTGAAGCGCCCGTCGTACTTCTTCAGGATGGTGTTCTTGGTGCTGAGGTAGAGCGGCCACACTTTAGACAGAGCCATCTGGAAGGAGCTGTGAGCAAAGTCCTTGATGGACTTGTCTGTGTTGTACATTCCCAGAGCTACACCTCCTGAGCCTGCACACACACACACAAATATAAACTCACATTAACTGTTCAACACCATCACAGAAAAGTTAACAAAGTCCAGATGAGCAAAGATTTATATGTAGTCGTGTGTTCAGTTTCTATCAAACTCATTGTCATTGTAGACAAAACTGAATAATTCTGAACTGGTTTCAAGTCATTTTGGTTAAATTTTGTGTCATTTTGGACCGATTTTGAGTCTTTTTGGACAATTTTGAGTCATTTGACCAGTTTGAAATCATTTTGGTTGAAAGTTTGTGTCATTCCATACAAATTTTGAGTCATTTTGAACCGGTTTCAAGTCTTTTTGGTCATATAATTGTGTCAGTCTAGACCAATTTTTCATCATTTTGGACCATTTTCAGTAATTTTGAACTGGCTTCCTTCAAAACCGTTAAAATGGCTTCCCAAGTCAGACATTTTTTTTAAGTGCAAGTGAAAAACTTCTACAAAAAAAAAAAAATTGAAATTGAAATTCACAAAATTCTTTTTCTTTCTTTTTTCTTTTCTTTTTTTTTTTTTAACAATATTTTTCAGAACATAGGTTTGGGTCAGAATTAACAGAAAAGCAACAACTGAACAAAATCTGAGTCAATGCAGCAACAAGAGATTACTGTTACTCAACAGCTGAAAACCTCCTTTGGTTTGCTCAGTGGTTGGCTTAGAGTGATAAAAGCTGAACAGGTTTTGACAGAAACACACAGATAACCCACTGCCTAGAGTATGTTTTAACATTTACAATGTGAACATGATAAGAAAATGTACTTGTGAAGGCGTCTCTATAATATCAGCCCAGCTAAGTTATATTTACTGACACCATTACACATGCACATTATGGTATTTGACGCCTTTGTTCTGAGATATTTTTCATTTCAGACAGGTCTGATATTTGCACACCTGTTTATATAAGATAATAAACATGCCACTTTACCACAAGTCAAGGCAATTTTAATGCATAGACCCCAATACCACGTATTCCAAATGGACTTATCTAGCAGCATCTGCCCTTAGACACAAAAAAAGAGGGATCCTTCTTTCAGGAAAGGTAGAAGTAGAGGAGAATGTTACATGAAGTGTGTGTCTAATTGCAAACTTCCTGCAATCTGCATCTGCTGTACATGTATGATGCAATATTTTGGCCTTGTCTTTATACAATTAAAGGAAGCAGTGACACATACTCAATCTTTATATGCAGTCTATAGCCAAGTAATAGATGCTGCATGTACAGAAGAGAGACAGACAGAGTACTTCATTGATCCCCAAAGGAAAATGTGACAGAACACCTATAACTTACATTGAGCTGACATGACTACACTTAATAATCAGACTATTCAGTTTAATATTAACCGTGTAATAGATTTAAAACATGTAATAGAGCTTCACAACATGGGACACCATCAAAATTGTGACTGTTACACAAGGAGGATGGCATGAAATTGTGAGCTTATTGGGTCTGACACGCTGCTAAAAGTGTGTCCGTTAAATCATGTCAGTGAAACCACAGTGTGACGCCTGTACCACGTCAACATGCAGCATAGACAATCCCTGAAAGTTTGCTCGAATTAAACAAAACTGAATTACAGCTTCAGTTTAGTTATTTAACAGCATCTCCTATATCCTCAGCTGCGGCCTTTGTGGTTGTTGTGATTTTGTGATGGACCTGGCTGCGTTCTTACCCTCAAACTCGTGGACGACATATTTGACTGGCTGTCCGCCGGCGGGTGTGTAGATCATCTCCACTTTCCCAGGTCCAGGCACCACGAAGTCTGTGGCTTTGTACTGTGGAGACACAGTGGGGAGGAAAAGGGGTTAATTTTAGAGAGCTGTTTGAACCCACTAAACATCGCAGCTCTTAAAATGTATAAAATGGGGTCATAAACACCTCAGCAGGACTCGGTAGTCAGCGTATATAACCTGCACACCTCTGACATCCACCGGCTATTATGCAACGATCAGCAGCCTGACACTTCACCTGCATTTCTTTCCTCTGTTGACTTTGGCAGAGAGCCACGAGCTAACCTGTGATTTAGCTCTGCTGCTGTGGAGGCAGTGCCTTGTGGTCCAAAGGACGGCCGGTGAATCATCATAATTATTGACCGAGTCTCCCCTGACAACCTCACAATGTCTGCTATAAGCGCTAACTCACTGCGGTCAGGCACGAGTTCAGAGTAGGCAGCTTATAACTGAGGTTTGCAGTAAGTTATACCCCTCTGAGTGCTTTAGCAACAAGTTTGCAGACACTGTGGGAGCTGATTTAAGTTTCCCTGACCAAAGAAAAAGACATGCTTAACCCCATACGTGAGGCTGGAGTCCAGACTGAAGTTCATCTAAGGGGTAATTTCTAAGCTCAGAGTGGGTCTTTGGAATGTGCAACAGTGAGATCAATCTGTGCATTTTCCTCTTATTTCTGACATTCGACAAACAAAAATGCCGACTATGCTTCAGTAATTTAAACACATCTCTGCAAAACTGGTCAATAAATATATAAATATTCTTTTCCCACCCAATTCTTATCATTTGGTGCTTGTGATTTTCCTTTGACGCTGCTTGAAACCTCTCAGGGTGGCATCAACACCTCCTCTATGCAGGAAAAACCCTTTAAAAATCACAAATTAATAAACTACGGTCAATGTATTTTGCACCATCTAACTCCAAAACCTGCTGGCACATTGAAATGTTATCTTTTCTTTTCTTTTTTAAAGAAAAAAGAAAAAAATCTGGAAAATTCCACAATTTTTTGAACCAGAAACTGTAAAAACTGAAATAAATTCACAGATTTTCAACTGTCTAATGGTCCTATGTACGTGACATATGGTCGTGTCGGGAAAATGAACCAAATCTGAGCTACAAATTGTGATATTTTGTCAAATTTGTTTTTCACGTCTCTTCAACATGTCCCATTCAAAAGAGAGTTTTCAGTTGAACTACAATGTGAACTGAGAGGATAAAATAAAACATGCTCGAGCAATAAGATAAATGTAGCATCGCTCAAAAATGATGTACAGAGGAGCAAGTTGTTGGACGATACATTCAGCATGATGAAACATCTTTCTATAGTGGATGTACAAAGTCGTAGTAAAATGTCGGTTTGTGTCGGGATAAAAATGTAAATGTACATGTTGATTCCAGAGTTTAAAAATTTAGGTAAATGACCAAAGAAATTCAACTTTTTCTTCTTTTTGAAAAATAATTCATGACAATATAACTGTGTCATACTGCACAGAAGACATTTCTGAGTTCTACTAACTTCTAGTCATCCATAGAGGTGCAGGACTTTATACTGCAGTGAAAAATGAGCCCATTGTTTTTAAGCTGTAAATGTTTTGTTCACTGAAATACACACCAAAACACAACTTTATATTGACATACAGCAAATGAAATGGATTCATATTTTAGTCTTTCAACCAGTCTCGTGTCTCTCACCCCAGCATGGATTGATTGTTTTGTAAGTTTTCAGTTTACAGGAACATATGAAGGTACCTGGTCTCCGTGGGCGTGCCTGCCGATGATGATGGGTTTGACCCAGCCGGGCACCAGACGGGGGATGTTCTTACAAATGATGGCCTCCCTGAATACGGTGCCTCCCAGGATGTTACGAATGGTCCCGTTGGGCGAGCGCCACATCTGCTTCAGCTTGAACTCTTCCACACGCTTCTCGTCCGGTGTGATGGTGGCGCACTTGATGCCCACATTGTAACGCCGGACCGCCTCCGCTGCCTCAACCGTCACCCGGTCGTCTGTGGCGTCTCGGCTTTCCATGCCAAGGTCGTAGCTTTGAGAGAAGAGATGGAGAGGAGAGTTAATGGTGCCAGAGAGGAAGCCAATATCTATAATGTGCTGATACTTTCTGGTACAATGTAGTTGTTAAGTTTCAGTACAGATGCCGACAAACTGTCTGTGGTGCGAAAAACTTCTGGGATTGTTCAAGCAGAACGTATCATGAGTCAAGAGACCACGTTACATTGCGCTATCAAGATCAGGTCCCATGTTGCAGAAGTTTTTTTGACCACTGGTAGGTTACAAATGACCGATTTCACAGAGAGCAAACATCCTATTCAACAGCTGGATGACCCAACCTTCATGTGGGGGGTCATCACTGGTGACCAGAGGGGGTCTGCAGCTACCATCAAGAGAAGAAACAGCATTTTTCACAGTGTAAGAGTTGCAGTGTACAAGACTGCAGAAAGAGTCAGGAGCACCAGGAGCATGCTTCTCTTCTGCATTTACAAGGCTGTGAACCGTGTATTCACCCTCCAGGGTCTGACTGTTCTACTGCAACATCCAGAGGTGTTTCAGGTGCAGACAACATGATTTGTGGCATGATGGCATATGGGAGTGTCCAATACAAGTTTTTTGACCACAGCAACATAATTGTTGCTCTTAACAGGCCCTACTCTCAAGATTTACCTGCGACTTCTTCTTCTTCCTCAAAATGAAATGTAAGGTGATGGGTCTTTGTTTTGACACAGTTCAAGAGTTTCAGCGAAAATAGGGATTGATATGTTTACACATCAGAACTTCTAAGGACTGTTACAAGCGTTGCAGGAGCACTGGGAGCTGAGTATCTCTGCACAAGGAGAGGAGGAGCACATTAATTGGTTTTAGACTTTTTTATAAGCACAGATTCTGAACTTTTTGTTAATATATTGTTCTTTTGGCATTTGGCCAATATGCCCTTGCCTTTTTTTTTTTTTTTTTTTTTGCCAATACATAAATATGCCAAACTGCAGGACATGGTCTGATAAATCTTCAACTTTTGACCTGTAAAATATTGTCAAAGGTTAAAGGAATGTTTTGATCTGCCTCATATTCAGTGCCAGCTTCCATAACATGACAGTTTCCAATATGATATTCGTGTGCTTGTAAGTATGGGAGTAAAGCAGTGATGTAAGGAAGAAGAAATGGGCCAAACAGACATGAAAACCATTTATAATTCGAGCAGCTGAGGCATGAGACACCATAAACAAAGGCCGTCTGTTTCAGGAAAGATCATTTCTACACCATTTAACAGCAGCCCTGCAGCACTGACTGACCAAAGCCTTAAAAGTGAGCGTATGTTACTGTTGTAGCTTGCTGGAAGACTAAAGTACAACGGCTGTGATGTAAAAACATGATCACTGTGTCAAAGGACGTGAGGGATATTAATGAGTGGTGATGTGAGTTCGCTCCAAACTGAGGACGAACTCAAAGTGTTGCCAGGGTTTTATTCACACTGTACTGAAGCTAATTATATTTCTCAGAGAACCTGACACAGTGTCCCACTTTCCAGCCACTGTGCTCACTCTGCTGCTTCTTTATGCTGTCAGTGAAGAGATCTGCAGAACCAGCCAGCAACGCAAAGACAAAGGAAACAAGGCCGCAGTTGTGCAAAGACGCCCAACCCTCTGCCAAGATAACTGGATAAGTTGCTCCACTTGTTACACTCGAGGAACGTTGTGGCTTCAACGAGCTGTTGAGAGGAGGAAGCACACTTAACCCAAAAAACAAGCTCAGAGTGCTTATCATTCCTTTCAAACATTTGCCTCTGAGTTTTGTTGCGCTCTCAAAGGCTTTGTTCAAAAGCAGACATGACCTTTTACCTACTTTCACCCCCTCCTTCCCACGAAAGCTAACACCAGGCCACAACAATACGCCGCTCAGTAACTGACTGCATACATACAGCTGAGGCAAATGCCAAAAACCAACAGGATCCAGCTGATCAAGACTGATGTCTTCATTTGTTCTGATGTGTTTGATTATGAGTTTATTTATGTATTTAGCAAGCTGATGCATTCCTAAGACAGTCTTCAGAAAACCTGCACATTCAAAAGCTGAATTTGATTATTCAGATTTAAAATTACAGCTAAAATAATTCTAACTACAGTCATGACTCGATAATCCAACACTAAATGTAAAACCTTCTATTCTGTCGGATAGCAAGGCTGTTGGATTGTCAAGATGGAGGTTGAAATACAAGGAGGGCTTGATGCTTTAAGGGTCATTCGTTGTTAATATTCATTGTTTACAGCAGTTATAGTAACTAGTAAGGCTGGTCCGAATAGCCTATCTGGGCTCAATTAATAATGAATATCAGAATATTCAGCGTGGTCGGAGAGGGATGTGCTCCGACGGGGTGGAAGTGGCCGGATCACACAGGCAGTACTCGGCTGTTGATGCCTGTTTAGTTAGCAGTCACAGTTCTGTTTCCACCATCGGTGGCGGTGGCAGGGGAGTGGCAGATATGCTCCACTGTTACCATCCATGTTTACTTCTGCAAACACTGAGCTCGCTCGCTGCGCGTGATGTCATCGTTTTCTTCTTCTGCGCATGCAGGACACTTTTGGGTCGTATGAAGTTCACACAGCAGGTCACATACAAGTCGTATTTAATTGGAAATGTGAACAAACTTGCAAAAAATCGGATTTTACAAAAAAATCTGAATTGAGCATTAAGTCCTGCAGTCTGAATGTAGCCAATCTGTCGAATTGTTTAGTCAGAAAATACGCTGTTATCATTATTTGTGCCATAAAATGTCATGTCAGAGTCGTAATCCAAGGCTGTCGGTATGTTCAGGCTATTTTTAATGGGTTCTGTTCGTTTTTCCTAAAAACCTGTCGGAGAGCAAGGTTTTCGGATTGTTAAGGGTCGGAATGTCAAGTCACGACTGTAGTGGTAATTTGGACTTGTTGTTCCAGGTAACTGTAACGTCAAAATCCCAGTTACAGATCTCTGTATTTCAGTTTAGACTGGTCAAAATTACAGCTGTAGATATCTCAAATGCCATTACTACAAGTTGCTTTGGTTCTACAACTGTAGTAAAATCAGCTTTAACAGCTAGATAAGCTAAATGTATGACTCATAAACAGAGGTTAATGACTAGTTGTACAGTGGTTGTTTCTATGTTTATTACCAATTGATATTCATGTTTATGGTTGGAAGCTACTCTGTCCAGAGACGTATTCAGGTATCTAAGCAGAAATTAACCCTGTAGTCCTCAACTTGTAAAGCGTGTATGTTGTTGTTTCCTGGAGCGAAGGGAAATTTGAAAATGGTTGCACACAGAAAGCAGAATGATAAAGATGTCTTAAATGAGCATCCAAGTGCAGGCTTACACCTGCAGTCTACATTTCATAAGTCAGACTACCTCTGATGTAACTACAGGTATCTGCAGCATCAAAACTGTAATTCAATTCATCTGTGTATTACATTTGGACTAGTCAGAATTCTAGTTAGAGATATCTACAACGTAATGTCAACCACTTAAAACCTAATTTCAGATATCTAAAAAGGACAAACATATCTTGAACTACAATTATAACTTGTTAGAGATAAACTGTTGATAAATGACACTTTTATTACAACTAGTAAGAGTTGTATTGTAGATATGAGAAACAAAGATAAGAGCGACTACTTTGTTGCAGAACAACAATGATGTGGATATCTGAAATGCGCTTTCAGACTGGAAAGAACTGAATTATGGACATCTGCAATGCACATCTAGTCTAATTGGCTTAGTTTACAATTTTTATGTGTGCGATCACTGTTAGATTTCACTTTACCTTGTTAAGCGTGTTTGTCCAATGGGCGCAGCTCAGATTATTCTGTGATTATCACAGCACATTGAATTATGTGTTCTTTCAAAGCCCGTTGTACAAGAACCCATTAACTTCAATAAATTCAAAAAAAGAAATAAGGATAAAAACATCTGTCTAAAAGGCAGGAAGTTAAAGTTCAAGGTGATTGTCCACATTTCTCAGTAGGGCGATATGACAGCTTGAGCTTTACATAGAGGTCACATAAACAACGCACAAGTCCGTACAAAGTTCATGTCAGAGATAAGAAATGGACGAATGGATGTTGACAACAAAGTTACTGGATTGGTAATCTCAAAGGCGATCTGTCAAAAATTACTTTTATTAACAGCGTAACAGCCCTTGGTTACGTATACACAGGTTTTACAAACCACAAAAATTTCCATTGTGCAATTTTTTCCCAAATTTGAAAGTTTCAATGTTGCACATCTCTAACTTTTAATACAATTTTGCAGTTTTGAAAACTTAGGAGAGCTTAACTTTATGTCTCCTGCTGCGAGATAAAGGATCCTTTCACAGGTTGCTCTGCTGTTCAAACTCAGCAGGGACAATCGTGGATAAACAAGCCTAACTAGAAATACCAGGCCGGCAGGAACTGTTAACTGATTTCCTTTTTTATGCAATTTCACCAAGACGCCCCTGCTGGGGGAGCCGCAGCTACCACAGTCCACTGCTCTGTCATGTATACAGAATGATTAATGTATGCATGACTGCACTGCAGTGTTCAAAGGATAATGTGATCTTTACACGATCCGTCCTCACCTGTGCAGGTCGAGCTCCAGGTACGGGAAGATGAGTTTCTCCTTAATGAGCTCCCAGATGACCCGAGTCATCTCGTCTCCCTGCATCTCCACCACAGAGCCGGCCTTGATCTTCGGAGACATCTTCGAGCCTGGAGGTAGAAAACCAAGGACGTAGACCGTGAAGAGCATGATAAAGACTGACAATTTAAGAAAAGAGAGTTGCTTTCCTGTGAGATATTACTGTTCAACTAAAAACAAAACCAACAACTGCAACCCCCCCCCAAAAAAAAAACAAACAAAAAAAACCGCAGATTTACATTTGCTACGACCAAATAAAATGATCCAAGAAAGATACTTATGGTGAGCTGTTATAACATTTATCAGCTGAATTTTAAACCAGTTAAAACAACAGTTAAAGATCTCTGTAATTCAGTTTGGACTGAACAGAACAACAGCTGCAGATATCCCATTGTTGGGATTATGCTACTCATGTGAGGCTTTGCATTGCCACAGCTTCTGACACTACTACAGATATTTCTAACCTCATTTCATTGAGTCAGAACCTCTAAGTCAGGATATCTGTATTTACATTTTGACAGGGCAGAATACCAGTTGGAGACCTCTACAATGCAATTCTGATCAGTTTAATTTAAGAATATGAAAAGGACAATGTAGATATGTTGAATAAAGGGGAACTAAAGTTATCTTGACCTAGAATTATGAAAAGTCAGGATTGAATTATCTAAAACTTTAATTCTAACTAGTCAGAACTCAGATGCTGATACATCTGCATTGAGAAACACATAAATGACTCGAGTGATATACTCGTCCTGGAAGAATGACGACGTGGATATCTGATGACCTTTTTCACTAAAAGGCCTCTTCTACACATATTCTGCATAGCTATTAAAAGTTTAACCAGCTTGCAAAAGGCACACGCTCCAAACTATACGC